AACGTCATCTGACACAAATTATAATAATGTAATTTTCAATATTAATAAAAGCATTGAAATTATATCCAAATGGTCCATTGACAATAAATTGAAACTAAACGAATCCAAAACTGTGGTAATGCCGTTTTCTCTAAGGAACCTAAACGACGAAGTTTCCCCTAACCAGTTCTCCTTTTTAGGTTGTATAGTAGATACTCGTCTAAATTTTGAAAGCCATTGCGATAATGTTGCCAATAAACTTAACAAAACCATATATCTATTAAGACATTTGTGCAACAGTGTTTCTTTAAAAGTTCTAAAATAAGCGGCATACTATTCTTTAATACAAAGTACTCTTACCTATGCGATCATAGCCTGGGGAAATAGTTCTCACTGGAAAGATGTATTCCGATTGCAACGTAAAGCAGTGCGTGTAGTAACAGGCCTCAAGTCTAGAGAAGACTGTCGTAGTGCTTTTATTGCTTATAAAATATTGACTTTTCGTTCTCTCTATATTTTAGAAGCTTTGTGTTTTGCTAAAACTAATATTGCATGCTTTCCGAAGCAATCGGAAATACATCATTTTGATACGAGGAAAAAGGATATGATTCGAGTTAAATACTGTCGTCTGTCCACAACACAACATGGTATTCTATATATGTCACAGTCATTATACAACTGTCTTCCAACTCATCTTACTTGTTTGTCACTTGCGCCTTTCAAGAAAAAAATCAAAAATTATCTCATCGAAAATGCCTTTTATTCTATTGATGAATTCGTCCGTGGGTGCAAATATATTTAACAAATTTGTTTATATTTTTGTGATTTTTTTGTCTGAATAACGTAATGTTTTATATATATATTTATATTTTTATATATCTGTAATTCAAATTGGCATGTTTTTATAATATTATATATTTTTTTTATTAATTGTTGACGAGTGTAAGTGCACAGACACGTTCCACACAATAAAGATCTATTCTATTCTATTCTATTCATGTGCGAAAATTGGATAGTTTACTGCAAGGCATGATCGAAGGCGTCGCGAAGGGTACAAGGAAAAGAGGAAGAAGGCGAGTGAAGATGGTAGACGATCTAAAACAGGGAATAGGATACGTTGATATGAAAAGAAAGTCAATGGATAGAGAACAGCAGAGAAATCAAAATAGAACCTGCATATAGAAGAAAACTTAAAAAAAAGGCAGTTGTCTTGAGTGAAGTCTTATGGACGGTCAGCTCTATCGGCTTGAGCTAAATTGTCCATTTATCTCCACGGACCCCTATTCTTATCGCCTATTTTTTGTTTCCCAAGTTAACGGAATATTTCAGATTTTTTTACGGCGAGAAGCGCATGAACCCCAAATATTACACCTTTGGGATTTGTGTGGGGTGATGGTTATTTGCCCAAAAACGAAACATGGCCCCATGACAAGCATTATTGAAGGGGATTAGGGATGAATGCATAAAACATAAGGCAATATTTGTAAACACGGACTTTTTATTTATTTATTTATTTATTTGGCCTTTATTTTTAAGTGGGCGGGGTTTCAGCCGAGGCTGCTCTACCAACCCAACCCACTATACATTTACAAATATCCATGCCCGAACCCGGATTCGAACCAGGGACCCTGTACCGCAGTCGAGCATTTGACTTTGATCGAAAATAGTTCACAGTAAAGTAAATTGAGCACTTTTTTGTACTTTTTTCGTTTCCAAAATAGCGCAAGCGAATTTTCACTAATAAAATGGAGGGTTAACAAAATAGGGTTAGGTGGGTAACACATTATTCAAAAGCAAATTCAATTTCTGCTACAAAAAAGAGGTTTTTTTACATTTTACTTTCAAATCTGTAAATATTAACTTTCACATTAAATTGCACAAGTAATCCAGATACAGCAAATACAGGGTAAATATTCCACGAGCTAAAGTTCATTATTGCATATAATCCAATAAAGTTTTTTTAATCTACGTAAAATTTGGAGGAAAGGGTGTCAAAAAAGTAGTGTCTACATCATTTGAATAAAAAAGCTAGTTCTCGTCCGATTTGGAACTGTTTGATTTTCTTTATGTTTATTTGGTCGATGACAATTAGGTGTAGAACACAATATCATTCAAAAGATTCGCCACGGTTTCGGAGGGAGACCTTCATCCGTTTGTTTACATTTGATTTGATCTAAATCAATGACTAGGGCGCATAAATCTCCTCCACGGCGATGATGGCCGCCTTTAACTCTTCAATGGTATTTCGCTTTCCCGCATCAATTTTAGACCAAAGGACGAAGATCAATGGGGACAAAATAACGTAGGCGCGAACCGTTCTTCTTTTTAACGCCCATTTTCGTAAAACGGTTCCCATAGTTTAATCTTTCAATGGTTGATAAGAGACCTTTATGCGGACTTGAAAATTTGCAATTAACAATAGGTATTCAGTTAGACTATCGATTTTAGATATTTCAAACCGGTCAATTAAGTAAGTGAAATTACTAGAAGCTAAATAAATGTGTTGCAGCAAACGTCATTCCACATAGTCGTGTGGGGTATCAAAAGAAGCGCACTTAATTAATTTAAATTTGAAAACCAATTACAGATTTTTACGATGTCAGCAGGCCGCACAATTAATTAAAGAAGCTGTAATTTTTGGACGTTCTTATCCGAATAGGACTAATAAGTACTCCATGGCATGACTCAATTTTATAAAAGGTGAAGCCGTTGTTTATGGAGGATATTTTTGCTTGTACCGTAATTTTTCTATAAATTTACTTGGGCTACCGTCCCGTAATTAAATAATAATCGATCATTTTGCTTTTGCGGTTTAATCGAATAGCGCTACCGAATCATTATTCCGCCAATGCTTATTTAATTTGTCATGCGTTTTTGCGTCGACTTATAAAAAAAGAAGAAAAACTAGCAACTAATTTATATAAATGTTTATAGTAACGGTAGCTCTAAACGTGGATTTATTGTTTAGAATTTTATAGAGATAAGTAAAATTGGAATTGTAAGAATAAATCTGTAAGAATTTGGTGCAATTGAAGATTTATTTGTTTTTTTATAATTAAGAAGATTTGTGTTTGTGTACTTAGTTATTGTCATAATTTAAATGATCTAAGGAAAAGCTCAGACTGGAAAACATAATAATCATGGCAGTCGTAAGGTTTGTAAACTCCTTGAACGTGGAATAACATACCCTATTCCTATTATGTTAGGAGTATATGCTTTAGTTAAGCTTCAGTCGGTATTGTTTGTCTATAAATCACAATTTCCCGACGTGTATCGCGTCTTGCTTGTTTGACTTATTCCGTGTACATTATGTACATAAATATCTTCGGATATTAATGTCCGTTGTTGATATTAGTATAGGATAGTGGCTACATTACAATGCTATCAATCCCTGATTTTCGGCAAACATCCCGTACGAATGAGGGGGAAGCTCCACTGTTACAACTTGCATGTTTCTCAGTGTACGCGTACTTCATAAAACATTGCAGATTTGTCATAACTCCCCTCGTTAAGATTATCTCTTATAAAAAATAAATGATCCTTTTCCTCTTATATTTATCAATGTACGTATTTTGGAACGCCTGCTACGTGTAGAGAGCTAAGCTCTTCTACAAAAGTATCCAATTGGTCGTAAGCTTCAACTGCAGTGGATTAGTTTCTGTTACTAAAATAAAACATCCACTACGCGACATGTTTTTTTTTGCTTTTTTCTTGAGTTTCGTAAAAGGCTCAGGGTTCCTTCGTTCCCGCAAGTAATTTTAATTAATTTTCCGGTAATTAACTACCTAAAAATACTTTTCGTACTTCGTGAAGATAAAAGATAACATCCAAACAATTAGAGTTTTGCCATTGTCGAGGTATCCAAAACGTAATTGTGTACCTATAATAGGACAAAGGAAGACTAATTAATGAGCGCCTTTCTTAAAATCATTTGCAAACGTATACAAATCCGAATCTTGAGAGTTAATTAAAAACATGCACGAAAAAGCATGATTTACGTATAGGTAGTAAATATGGGGACGCAATTTCAGGGAGAAAGCTTTTTAAAAAATTACCCTTCAGCAATTGCTTTTACGGCCTAGTTTTGTGGATAAGGAATTATTTATTTCCTTCGTTAATAATATATGATGCAATTTAGAAAACCTAATATTATTCTACACATTACAGTAAATTGCCCGCACTTGAAGGTCGATCGAATACAATATTATATGAAAATAAATTATAGGTAACCTAAATGTACGTACAGAAAAATCGACTTCCAAGGTGAGAAAAACTTGGACGTTTACAGAAATTCGAACAAATAACATGTATGACTTAAAGGGTGTAGCATATTTTCCATAAGGAGACGTGAATGTGACAAGAATTTGATTTCTGTGAATCGATACCCCCGGGACGGGAATGCTTTTCAATAAGGATTATGGCTTTACAGTCTATTCACATGTAAAATAATACAACTAATATTGGGAGTCAAGTCGCATTAACGAAGAAGCTATAACGAAATGCGTTGAAGCTGAAGGCTTATTTACACTGACAATTTGAATATCATCTCTTACTAAATCTCTTCTCGATATCCTAACCCAAAAGTAAACGAAAACAATGTTTGATGGAGCAGTCGTAATTTTGGAGAAATCATAAATGAATGGAATTCTTTGTTGAAGAAAGACATATTTGAAAGAATTGTGTTGTTATATTTACAAAAATTTGAAGTCAGTCTTTGTCATATAAAAAGTCACATATAAAAATCGGTTATTAAGAAAATTTGTGATATTGCTAACACGTTTTGGTTTTGAACAATAAAAAGTTCAGTGTTGTTATGTTAATGTGACTGGTGCTTTGAGAAAATTTAAGTAGTCAGTTGTATTTGATATACGGACGCCTCCAATCACGCGGTTAATAAATTATGTAAAAGGTGTAATAAATCACCACAAGTTTTTCTTAAATGTGTTATATGTGATGCTGTCTACCACCCAGGGTGTGCCAGACAAATCAAAAATGTTAAAATATTGGACGATAAATCAGTTATGTGCTGTGAAAATGTCGGTGCGCAGGTTAGTGATGGCGTTTATTCTCAAGGTGAGAGTACTAATTCTGTTGCCCTGGACGATATGGCAATAATGGAAATTAAGTATTTAAAAAAGTTACTGGTGGAAAAGGACAAGGTAATCGAAAACCAAAAAATAGCAATTGACGCGTTACATAGGCAAATCGCCTTAACAGATAAAATTTACAACGTTATACCATCAAATGTTGACAATAGGATATCTAGTGACCTGACCTCAACCATATCAAAGTCAAAGGTAAATAAACAAAAATCTATAAAATCGTCAGTCCTGCAATGTAATGAGCCAGGGCCTTCTATCTCTGTTGCGGAAGAGAATCTTCTTGCCCTGCCAAACAAAGGACAACCCTCAAGCGGCAAGGGACGTACTACGACTAGGCTACTTAAAGAAGGCAAGGAAGCGACATATGCGGAAACCCTTCAACAACCGGTAGGAGTCACTAATAGTTCATTAAATAAAAATAATGACACATCACCGAATGGTGATTGGAAAACTGTAAATAAGAAAAATAGACGCACGCCTACCGTCGTGGGTATAAAAGACTCGTTAAGTCAAGACTGCATTAAAGCGGCAACAAACCGAATATATCTACATGTTTATAAACTAGACCCAGGAACTACATGTGACATGTTACAGGATTATCTTGTGGAGATGTTTCCCGGAGTACTATGTGAGCAACTGCAATCAAAACACCCAGAGTACTACTCATCTTTTAAAGTGACCGTAAACGATACATATATGGACAAAATAATGGACCCAGGTGTGTGGCCTGCAGGCACAAGGGTAAACCGTTTTTTTCACAAAAGATCACCCCCAGTAAGCAATGGTTAAATAAGCAAGAAAGCAGTGAGCCAAATCTCAACATATTGCATATAAATATACAATGCTTGAGAAATAAGCTAACTGCGATTGAAGCCTTCCTCTTGGATAAAAATCTGGATATTGTCTGCGTTAGCGAACACTGGTTCACAGATGTTAACGTCACAGATGCTTTGCGAATAGGACCGTGGAGCGTCGCTGCACACTTCACAAGAATCAACTCTATCCACGGGGGAGTATTAATTCTAATAAAAGAAACTTATAAGCTGAAGAAGCCCCCTTCATTTATATCCCTGGCAGCTTGTGAAATTCACTTTGAAATCTGTGGACTGCAACTAAGTTCTAATGTCGTAATCGTTGCTATTTATCGATCTCCTCTGGGGGATTTTAACGTTTTTTGTGACAAATTGGAACATGTTCTTGAAGAATTAAGAAGCTATAGTGCCGTGATCGTGGGGGACTTCAATGTGAACTTTGCAGAGGATAGCATCAGATCGCATGCCGTAAGCAACATGTTTGTGCGGCACGGGTTTATCAGAACAATTTTTACACCTACAAGGGGTAAAAATTGCATTGATAATATATTTATCAATTTCTCTATCAACAACTACACGTCTTCTACTACTGAAACTGGTCTATCCGACCATTTGGGTCAAGTGGTGCGTGTATATGACAATTGCGGGTTGAGTGATAAAACTTATGTGACCACCACATTTCGACCATTATCGCAATCTGGTTATCACAAATTATTTCTATCACTTTCTCAATACGAGTGGAACAATATCTTAAATGAAAGGCAGTGTGCAAATGCTTCTTTTCAGTGTTTCTTCGACAAATTCTATAACACGTTTTTGGAAAGCTTTCCTATAAGGAAGGTTAGATCTAGATCATGTGACAATAACGGTACTTGGTTTAACCATTCTCTCAGAAACTTAAGAAGCAAAGTGCAATTATTTAACGGTCTGTATAACAAATACAGGTGCCCCAATTTATACAGCATCAAAAGACATGTGTACAATGCTTATCAAATTGCACTAAAATCTGCTAAAATTGCGGCTAACGATAAATTTATACGTTCCTCGGGAAATTCAACTAAAGCAATGTGGTCGATTATCAATGCATACCGTAATTCTAATATCGTCTATAAATCTGACTTATCAGCAGTCGAGCTTGTTTCATACTTTAACAATATCGCAAGTGTTATAGTTGATAACTTACCGCTAACTAACATTGACCCTCTTACCTATTGTGATAGTTCATTTGCTCGTGATAATTGCAAGTTTAAATTTACCAACGTTTCCCAAATAAATGTTCGAGAGGTCATAAATACGTTAAAAAACAGTAACGGCAAAGACATCTATGGCTTAAGTGCAAACTTAATCAAAAGAAATGTAAGCCTATTGGTTAAACCTATCACAGTAATTATTAACTCCATAATTAATTCTGGTAGCTTTCCGGATATGCTGAAAACTGCTGTTATTATTCCAATACCCAAGAAAGGTAATAAGAATGACATCAGCGCGTACAGGCCTATATCCATTCTGCCCATATTCTCGAAAATATGCGAAAGAATTTTAAATCAACAAATAATGTCGTATTTGGAAGCTAGTAATTTACTTCATGATAAACAGTTTGGCTTTCGTAAAGGTAGAGGTACATCGAATGCGATCATTGAATTTACGAGGAGCACGCTCGAGGCATTTGAAAATGGATTCCATACTGTGGCAACGTTTATAGACATGTCTAAAGCATTCGACTGTGTTAATCACGAAATTTTAATAAGAAAACTAAGACATGTTTATAACTTCGACTCGAATAGCTGTTCCATAATATCATCGTACCTAAGTGGAAGATCCCATTGTGTCCTTTTTAACAATGTGGTCTCGCATAAACTTACTGTTACCCTTGGAGTACCCCAAGGTTCCGTGTTAGGTCCTACACTGTTCCTTATCTATGTCAACGATATGCCTCTATGTCTCCCCCCAGATGTCTCGTGTCTACTGTATGCAGATGACGCAACTTTAATTTCCGCTAGCCGTGATGTAGAGAGTGCGTCTAGCAAGGCTAATGCAAGTATGGATTCAATTAATAACTGGTGTTTAGCTAATAAACTTAAACTAAATTCATCAAAAACAGCTGTAATGCATCTTACATTAAAATATGGTCAAGATGGTGCAAATTATAAGACGATATACAATGCAAAGTTTTTGGGTTGTACTATTGATCCTCGTCTAAACTTTAAATCGCACTGCGATGTAATTGCAAAAAGAATTAACCAGTCCATATTTCTATTAAGAAGGCTGGTAAACAATGTATCACCGTGGGTTATTAAAAACGCGTACCATGCTCTTGTACAGAGCACACTGAGCTATGCTCTTTTAGTATGGGGTCAATCGGTCTCATGGCATATGATATTCAAGCTGCAGCGGAGAGCTATACGTGTAATGAGTGGTCTGGGTTATCGTGAGGATTGTCGTGGAGCCTTCAAAAGACTAAAGTTACTTACGTTACCGTCACTGTACATTTTAGAAGCTGTATGCTTTATAAAAAACAACTTGTTAGCATTCTCACAACAGGGCGACATGCATACTCATAATACTCGCACTAAACACAAACTTCGTGTTAACTATTGTAAACTTACAGCATCCCAAAAAGGAGCGTATTACAAATCACTAACCCTGTTTAATGTTATTCCTGTTCATATCAAGGACTTACCAAATATCAAATTTAAATGTGTCGTCAAAAAATTCCTAACCGAACATGCTTTTTACACCCTGGAGGAATTTGTGGATCAAGTGAAACTTACAAACATGTCAGATGTAAGTTGGTAGTGTGCTTTAGTGTTAATGTACCTATTACTGTTTGTCTGTTTGTTTTATTTTTAACTTGTAATGTTATATACACTTTCATATGTAAACCTTTTTTGTTTTGACAACTGTAAGTGCTTTGCACCCAAACAGGAACGTAAATAAAATAAAAAAAAATAAAAGATAATTGTATAGATTTTCCTTGTGAAGCGTGTAGTTTTTCAAGGATTTAACACTTTTTGGCAACCGTGACAGGACTGAGGTGAATTGTGAATTTTTAATACTCAGTACAAGTTGGTCATAAACCGCGTAAACTTTGACACCTATCTGGATTGTGTAGCTTTTGAAGCTCTTAATAAAAATTCTGTAATATGGATGAGGCACAGAGAAGTACGTAGTTCATGTATAACAAAATCTCTTAATGAATTAGACATGTTACTCAACAAAAACCCGGCCATAAATGAAGAAGTAGAAGTGTTTTGGGAGTGCATTAAACTCAAAATTGAAGACATTGCCGCGAAAGGAAAATAGTCAGCAGGACTCTACAGAACATGCTAAGAAGGATATAATTCTAGCCAATCAAATAGGTTTTCCATTTGGTAGTTCAAACAATGCGCATAAATTTGAGAGCTGTTTCAGGGTGTGCGAAAAATGTTCGAACTGTAATTGACACTGGATCAGCAAAGTCATACATTCTGAAATCTATACTTTGTCTTCATTGAATTTAAAACCCAAAAGGGCGCAAAACATTGTTCATTGTTTATTTTGTGGGTCAGAAGTAGGATTGAAGTAAAAAAATGCCACTTTAACAACTTTACAACATAAAAATGTATAAGCCCGAAATTTGTGTGATACTTACGATAAAAAAATAGTACAATAAAAGTGTTGATCTAGTAATGCGATATAAACGCTAAAATTCTTTGTAATCGAATTCCTCTGGCAGGTAATGCTATTGATTAGAGTCGAAGCGATATTGCAATTACCATTCAAACTTCATTATTATTTCCACGCAATCGCACATTGACCGACCTATCGAATTACGGCGTCGAAATATTACAACTTACTCCCTTTATTACAATAGCTATTTATATACTAAAGGACTGAGGTGCGTCATTTAATCCACTTTGAGTACCGTGAAAACTTTCCTAAAACAAGAGCTATGCGCTATCTTCTACACTTATCGCAAAAGATAACATCTGATACGATTAATCCAATGAAAAGAACTGAAAACTGAAAAGATCAAAGTGATTACTATTTAGGTAAAAAAACCTATAAGATAGTTTTCAGTTTTTATAGAAAAATGCCGATTTTCTCAAACGGATTTCGTAAAACTTTCTACATTCTATAAGAAACTAAAGAAAGCACACTAAAAATCGTCATAAAACAAAAGTATTATTGGTGATTTTGTCGTGCTTATGTAACGGTAGCTCTTCCAGTTCTATAGAGATAAATAAAATCGAGATTTTTCTGATAAATTGTGTGGCTAGTAATTCAATTTCAAGAATAAATTAGAAAGCATTTGGTGAAATTGAAGATTCTCCTTTCTGTAGAGCAGTTAGTGGCTATAAGATTCTATACCAGATTTATTTTGAGTGATAAATTCTAAACGAGAAAGTTGCTGCTACTTTTTCAGTTACGTCGTTAAGAAACAATAATTGAAACTAGATTGAAGACAAAGTGCGAGTTACTTGGTTTTAAATTGAGACGGGAGTTTTAACCTAACCCGAAAAAAAAATTTTCTTATAGAATGTGGCCTGTAGAATCCATAATTTCAAACAGTTCCAAGATTGGGCTACTAGTTCAAAAGTTACAGCCCTTTGAATTTTCTTTCGAAATTGGTTTCTAGTCTATAACTTTTGATTGAGAAGTCTGATCGAAAAAGTACGAATTGTTTTGGATTCTACGCACCAAATTTAATAAGAAAAAGTGTTTTCCCGAGAAATTTTGGTGCAGTCGATTTTTGGTAAAAAAGGAAGGTTAAACACTGCCTTTTTTTGAACCCCGAAATAAAAATTGTTTCAGATCGACCCGGAATTTCTTATAGAATGTGGCCTGTAGAATCCATAATTTCAAACAGTTCCAAGATTGGGCTACTAGTTCAAAAGTTACAGCCCTTTGAATTTTTTTCCGAAATTGGTTTCTAGTCTATAACTTTTGATTGAGAAGTCTGATCGAAAAAGTACGAATTGATTTGGATTCTACGCACCCAAATTAATTAGAAAAAGTGTTTTCCCGAGAAATTTTGGTGTAGTCGATTTTTGGTAAAAAAGGAAGGTTATACACTGCCTTTTTTTGAGCCCCGAAAAAAAAATTTTCTCAGATCGACCCGGAAAAAAAATTTTCTTATAGAATGTGGCCTGTAGAATCCATAATTTCAAACAGTTCCAAGATTGGGCTACTAGTTCAAAAGTTACAGGCCCTTTGAATTTTCTTTCGAAATTGGTTTCTAGTCTATAACTTTTGATTGAGAAGTCTGATCGAAAAAGTACGAATTGTTTTGGATTCTACGCACCAAAATTAATAAGAAAAAGTCTTTTCCCGAGAAATTTTGGTGTAGTCGATTTTTGGTAAAAAAGGAAGGTTATACACTGCCTTTTTTTGAGGCCAGCAAAAAAAATTGTCTCAGATCGACCCGGAAAAAAAATTGTCTTATAGAATGTGGCCTGTAGAATCCATAATTTCAAACAGTTCCAAGATTGGGCTACTGGTTCAAAAGTTACAGCCCTTTGAATTTTATTTCGAAATTGGTTTCTAGTCTATAACTTTTGATTGAGAAGTCTGATCGAAAAAGTACGAATTGATTTGGATTCTACGCACCCAAATTAATAAGAAAAAATGTTTTCCCGAGAAATTTTGGTGTAGTCGATTTTTGGTAAAAAAGGAAGGTTATACACTGCCTTTTTTTGAGCCCCGAAAAAAAAATTGTCTCAGATCGACCCGGAAAAAAATTTTCTTATAGAATGTGGCCTGTAGAATCCATAATTTCAAACAGTTCCAAGATTGGGCTACTAGTTCAAAAGTTACAGCCCTTTGAATTTTTTTTCGAAATTGGTTTCTAGTCTATAACTTTTGATTGAGAAGTCTGATCGAAAAAGTACGAATTGATTTGGATTCTACGCACCCAAATTAATAAGAAAAAGTGTTTTCCCGAGAAATTTTGGTGTAGTCGATTTTTTTGGTAAAAAAGGAAGGTTGTACACTGCCTTTTTTTGAGCCCCGAAAAAAAAATTGTCTCAGATCGACCCGGAAAAAAAATTTTCTTATAGAATGTGGCCTGTAGAATCCATAATTTCAAAAAGTTCCAAGATTGGGCTACTAGTTCAAAAGTTACAGCCCTTTGAATTTTTTTTCGAAATTGGTTTCTAGTCTATAACTTTTGATTGAGAATTCTGATCGAAAAAGTACGAATTGTTTTGGATTCTACGCACCAAAATTAATAAGAAAAAGTGTTTTCCCGAGAAATTTTGGTGTAGTCGAATTTTGGTAAAAAAGGAAGGTTATACACAGGGGCGGACTGGGTACTTACGGACCATTAAGCCATTAAAGTATTAGTGTAGTAATGAAGGTGCCGGGGGGGTGGGGTAGCTCTGAGGTGCACCACAAAAACATTTTAAAGTAAGTACTCCTTTCTCGAAAATCAATTACCATACAGTTTTTTTTTAATTGCAGCTGATAATCAAAAGTAACAAAATATACAATCCACACGAGGTGCGTCGCCTATCATTGTATTTCAGCACTTTCATGCTACAACAAAAAATTATAAATGCATTGTAAAACACTTCAATTAAAACAGAATTTTTTAACAACCTAACATCAACCCCAATTAGAGAAACGTGTTAATAATTTATTAATAGTGCAAGAAACTAAATACAGCACATACTTATAAATTTCCAACGGGCCATTATGATCTACAGGCCAGGTGGCAATCGCCACCCGCCCCCCCGTGCCAGTCCGCCCCTGGTTTAAAGTATTATTATAAAAATCCATCCATCCTTCTACATCCACATCGTGACAACCATGGTTCTGCTATTGAATGCCTGTAATAATAACATCCTGCATATTTATGTATGAGCCGATAACAAGAACTGCATTACCATAAAAATGTAATTCGTGCAAGAACTCTTAACATCCGTTTGCGATCGTAATTTACAAGGAGTTTCCACACGAAAGTTAGTTGTAGTTTGGAAGAACAATCGGATTATGTGTCACCATGCACAAATTCATCCCTTGACTATTATTTGCATGTAAATCGACTAGATTTACCTACTCGCTGACGGTGGCACAATTCTACCTATACTGGCTGATCTATTATTATTGCGGATTTTATTGGGAACATTTAGCATTTACGGAGTGGCGATTTAAAATTGCCCATGAGACATAAGTTAAAGATTAAAATATGCAACGCATTGTTCGTTATACAAACCTAACGACCACCATGAACACAAACTTGCCGCAGCAGTTGCAATTCTCGCAGGAGGGCTTTAGTGACATACATTTCTATATTTCAATCATTGTGTTTACCTTTAGAAAAGCGAACAAAGGTAAAAACTTACAAGTTACCTTCCATTAATATTGGGTACATGCAAACTTAAAAGGAAACCACACAACATAATAACCTTATTTTGTTCGCAAAACAAAATCATATCCGAATTTCTTTTCATTTAAGGTCGCTAATTTCCATTTCTGGAACTTTCCAATTCCGTTTTCATCAAAATTACACTCGAACAAACAACCCTTCGCTGATTGCATCATTCAATAAAATTTAATTATTCCACGTAAGGTATACAAAATAAACTTTATGTAGGTAAACGGATGGGCTCGAATTAAATGCTTCCGGAGCTTGTCTACGTATATACCTCACAAAAATGATACAATGTTTTTGATTTCGACACGTTTCCACTTTAATTTAATTTCCCAATTTTCCGACGGTAAATTACTTTTTGATATGAATTAAAGCGAATTTTTGGAAATCTATACCGCCTATATAAATTCAACACCAAAGACGCGGGCTGCCGAATAATTAG